TAGTTTTTTTTCTTTTAAAAACATAACTATTTATAATGCTCCCTAAATAATAAAAAAACAAATTACAGTGAAAGCAATGAAGATTTTGTAGGTTTTGAACCAAACTTTTTTGATTTACGGTATTTTCTTATTTTGATCTCTTTTGTGTTTAGAACAAAATATATACTAATTTTAAAGTATCAAATTGAATTTTTGTTCAAAAAAATCTTTCAAATGCGACTGTAGCTTTTTTTCCCCCAAAACTTTGTCTTCAAAGTAAGGGTGCGTCTTATATTCCGAAAAATACGGCACTTGCTACACACTCACACATGTTACTTGCTACACATTCACACGCGTTACTTGCTACACATTCACACACGTTACTTATTACACATTCACACACGTTACATGCTACACATTCACACACGTTACTTACTACACATTCACACACGTTACTTGCTACACATTCACACAACCGTGCATACAAATATAATCCGAGAGTAAACCAATTTTATTATTCCAGGAACTCGGGTCGTTAAAAATTAATTTCTTTTGCTACATCCGAGAAGATATAAGTGTATGTTAGTTTAATTGACATTGTAGCTTGTTGTGTTGTTTTGCCATAGTTTGTGGATGTTGCACTTTGTCGTGTTGTTCTATTATTCTATTAAAATTCAAAACTAAAACTAACATTCGCTGAAACTTTAAGCTACTTGGAGATGCTATCGCAATGATAAATTAAAGTTAGTTTATTCTGACCCCCTCCCCAGATGGCTCAGCCAGGGTCTATTTCAATATACATTGTGAAGTGCTGTGCTCCAGTCCTCTGCTTGGTCCCCCACTCAAACATTACTTATCTAATTATTTTTATACTCTTGAAATTCTACATAAGGTGTTCTGCACAAGTGACAAGTGTTGCTCTTTAATTGTGTTGACTTATATTTCAGTCTTATCTTGTTCTTACGACCGTTTTCTTTCAGCTGAAGTCCATTTTCCATCCTCCCCACTAATAATTTACTTAAAAAGGCACTGAGCTCAGCGGTAAGCTTGAGAGCTTTTAACACTAAAGTTCGGTGCTAGATCCCTGTAATAGGCACAGTACATATATCACATTATGTAGCTCTGTGGTTAACAACGAACAAATCTTTTGACTGTGGTGAATTCCTGTAGGAACAAAATATTCATTGAAAACCACGTATCCGTGAGATGAACATCTAACTGGTTTATTCTATTACGTTAAACTTCATCCAAAATATGTCTGCGGACTTACAACGCTAGAATCCGGGATTCGATACCCGTGGTGGGCAGAGCACAGATAGCCCATTGTGTAGTTTTGTGCTTAATTACAAACAAAAATAAAACTTCTTAGTAACGTTATCCTCTTATCTGTAAGTGAAGGTATATTATGCTCTTCGAGCCTGGTTCGTCTGTTCGGAAAGTGCATAATATTAGAGTTACATTTCCACTGGCCACAGACAGCTTAATGTGTAGCTTTGCGTTTGACAACAAACAAACTATGATACAATAGCAAATTCCAGGAGCTACAGACATTATTTTTGAAAAATGCCTTTCTCTCTTTGTCCTGAATAACCTTAACGTTTCTTTGGAGTTATTTACAGTATACTTAAGATACACCTAAAATCTCTGGACGCCTGTTTATTAAACATTTCGCTTCCTAAAGGCTTTCAATTAAAATTTATAGGTTTAACTTGGAAAAACAAAATTTGTATATTGTGTATAAGTTTTAAACTTAAATTTATTAATTTTAAAAATAATGTTTAGTTGTTTTCTGGTTTTTATACTGAAGGATTGCCTGTAATGCTACGAAACCGGCTAAACAGAACTTGTTTGATAAAGAACAGTTTGGTTAAAAGAAAAGATACGAGTTTTCATAGACACGCCCATCTTGGATTGAAATTACATTGAATTACAGTTTACATGCCCCTCAGTGGCACAGCGGTATGTCTGCAGAATTACAGCGCTAGAATCCGGATTTCGATACCTGTGGCGGGCAGAGCACAGATAGCCCATTGTGTAGCTTTGTGCGTAATTACAGACAAACAAATACAGTTTACAATACACACACATATATATATATATAATGTTGGGGAGATCGTCTCGTTACAATTCCCGTGACTGGACATTGTTACGTATCACAATTTCAAATAGCTTAAAACTGAGTTAAATTGTAATTTAGACTTAGAAGTTAAATAAATGCCGATATGTATCCAATTTATGATATTTGCCGACAAGACTGATACACACAGTTTCTTTTTTAATACCGATATATTTTAATATACAAATAATAATACATTTTATAATATCGGTTATTACAAATAATGCTCTATGTACAAAAGTTTTACAAACTTACAAACAATATTGAGTCTTCTTTCAGGTCTGGAACTTCCTTAATATCTTATCGAGGATTCACGATGAGCGAATTTATTTTAAGTTGATGTAGATACCATTCACTTAACATGGAGCTAGCTAGCTCTATATTCTTATTTCTTTACCGGTCGCACGTCGAGTTTTTCCACCGATGAAGTTAGGTAATGTTTTCGTAAATATACTAATGTCCGATGGAATCCGCTGAAGTTAAATGGTTTGTAATATTCGAAATCTATAAACGTTCCTGGTCAAATAGCTGAAGTTCGCGATTAATAAGCGTTATAACAATCACAGTTATAGCTTCCGAGGTTTATAGCACACCAAATATAGTAAACCAATAATATATACTGTCATTTGGCGCGTCGCGTTGGTTATATTTTATAGGTGTGAGGAGAGTTTCCGAAATTTCAGCTTACGCAACAATACTGACGATACCCATGGCCAGGTGTTTAGGGCGCTCGACTCA